GGTATTACCGTGAACGGTATAATATGGCCCAGCCCTAGTGGGTAGTGACCAAAAGAATATGATCGTGGAGAAAAGTGGCAGTAATGAGCTTCCTCCGTAGGGTGGATGGCCTCTCCCTTACTGATAGGGTGAGGAGTTCGGCCATCCAGGAGGTGTTCAACATTGAAAGGAGCCAGCTGAGGTGGTTCGGGCATCTGACAAGGATGCCTCCTGGGCGCCTCCTGGGCGAGGTGTTCTGGGCATGTCCCACCAGCAGGCGGCCCCCCCAGGGCAGAACCAGGACACGCTGGAGAGATTATATCTCTCGGCTGGCCTGGAAAGGCCTTGGTGTTCCCCTGGACAAGCTAGAGGAGGTGGATGGGGAGGAGGAGTCCTGGGCTTCTCCGCTTAGGCTGCTGCCTCCATGACCCAGCTTCAGATAAGCGGAAGATGATCGATGGATGGATCCTAGAGTATCTGTCTTCATAAGATTATTATAATGCTAGATATATATGTACAAAAAGACAATTTATATCTGATATGTTAAATCTCTCAAAAAGAGATTGCATCTGTGATTATGACTGCAGCCTGTGGCTGATGGTTACTCAAGACTTTGGCTGTGCTATTATTCTTATCGCTGCAGCATAAGTTGCATGGTTGTAATACATATACATGCAACAGCTCCGTTTTGATTATACTATGTTAATAAGAAAAATTCTTTCATAAAATCACTGCATCTTCCAACAGTCTTGCATAGACATACAGTATTCACAGCACCACACACTGAACCACAGCTGAAGTCTATATCCAGCCACAGCCTACATCACTGCCAACAAGATCAACTGCAGCTGTTCACTGATTGGAGACGCAGTTTTTTCATTGTTCACTGGAGATCAGCTTTTTAAAATGAATGAGGAGCATTGAATGCAACACATAAAGTGTCACATGGCGTATCCAATTGTGCTAAAACCAGGAATTAAAAAAATAGAAGCTTAAAATTAAGTTGCCAAATGAATCATATAAGAATTGTTTTTGGACATCACCAAATGCTGTTTCCTCTCTTGAGATGCTCTGCTATGTGTTTAGTGCAGTTGCTGTTTGATTGTGGATTTCTCTGCCTTCAGTTTCGCCTTCAGTAAAATGAAAAACATCTGGTTGGGTTGGTGATTAAAGGTAATTTCAGTGCAATTAGAAACTTGGTTTGCTTTTGCAGTATGCTTTGAGTCAGTCACACTGTGTGAGTATTGCCCTGTACACTTCAGATTTCATCATGCCACTTCAATGAGCAAGCACATCATTATTTAACAGTGGTAACCTGGTTTCACTTGTCCATGCCATAAGATTGCCCGTACCATGGCAGAGGATGTGATATACTTCAAATCATGAGCTATTCCTCATCTTCCCAAAGGTGGTGACCTTGGCACACTATGTGCCTCAGCATTTCACGACTGGACTTCTTGCACAGGTGGTGTCCTATCACTGTAGCACACTGAAACTTACAGAGCGGATCATTCTTTTACAAAGTCTACATTCCTAGGTGCTTGATTTCATACACCTGTAGCCATGGCAGTGATTGGAACACCTGGAATTCATGATTTGGATGAGTGAGTGAATACTTCTGGCAGTATAGTGCATATGGGTTATAGTGGGATTTGATAGGCATAGAGACTGTAAGAGCAGCTGTAGTGGTTGCATGTGCGGAAAACAAATAAGTCAGACTAATTTCTAATGTGAGCACAAGTATATTTTGTATAAAGGCTGTGACCAGCTAAAATTCACTGCTCTTTTTGGATTTAGCCAACTGACTTCAACAAGGTCTAAGTAGATATTACAAAGGGGAAAATAATGATGCTGAATTTCTTTGCAAGATTGCTCCCAAAGAAACGGATGGTTTCTAATTTAAATGGTAGTTTCATTTTAATGGAGAGAGAATATCAACCAAAATTCCAGAAAAACACATAAAAGTCATAAATTGATCTGTAACTGACTGAAATAAGTAATTGATCCCCTACAACTCAGAATTTTCAATGAAGAGAAATCCTTAATATGAACCAAGTAACAACATCTCCACGGTCGAGTACGGAGGTGGACACACTGCTCTGGGCAGTGGAGTGCAGATGGAAACGAGCCACACACACAAGCAAAGACATCGTCCTCCGCTTGTTAGCAAGATAAACTGGATCTGTACTCCACATGGGCAGTCTTACCTTTCTGCACTCCTTCCTGACAGGAGATTTGTGAAATATCATTACGTTTATTGTTAAAGAAATAAATATATAACCAGAAAAATATTTATTATTAGCTGAAAAAATAAGTCGTGGAAGTATTTTTCAAACCATTCCTTTAGGAAACAAACACCTTACAACACATCAGTGTTTAAAAGATTAACATTACTGCTACACATGTTTGAGCTCATTCTGAATACTTTGTCTATATTATATTTAAAATGTCTAGTTTTTCAGCCTAATGATAACTTCCTCTTTCACAGTGAAAAGCTCAAGTTTCATTTGTTACAAAATAAAGAGGCTGCAGACCTCAAAAGGCCATGAAACTGCTGGCAGTTCAAACAATGAGTTTTGAGCCTCTGAATGGATGATTATGTGTAACACCTGCTGCCATTCCTCAACAGTTAATACAAAATTTGGGGGAAAAATCCTTGAATTAAAGCAACTATTAGAAGCTAATACTGGGTAATGTAGCATAAATGAACATGCTAATGTGCAGAGCAGAATATGATAAAGCTCTATATATAATATATATAACTATATAGATATTTAGAGCTCTTTATAACTCTTCAATACTGCAAATGACTGACAGTTTACCTGTGATGTATGTTTGGCTTCCTGCATATCCAGTTACCACTCCAAGAAAATCTTTAACAGTATGTCACTCCTGGTCTTTTGACTGAATTCTGAGTCAATCATTTGTTCCAAAGATTCCACAAAATATCCCAGTCAGTCTCTCCCACAATGCAATGCTTGAGATTTTGTCGATGGCAGTAATTGTGCTACTCTGTAACGCCATCAGCTGCAGCCAGTAAGGGTTTTTAATAGAGAAATCATGGTCCCGTAGGACAGACGTGATCCAAGAAATGAAACCGATCAGTCTGAATTCATGCGTCATGCAGGTTGAGAACCACTCCTGGAGTCCCACTGAGACACATCCACCTGTGTGTGTCTACAGGTGTCTGCACACACGCACACATACTGAGGTTAGGACAAAGAACATAAACCGAGTGGGGCGGTGGAGGTGAGGGGTTTTGGCACACACATAACATCACCAGTGCGCACCGTCGGCCTGCTTTACTCACTTTGCCTTTCACCACAGGGTCGGACGAGGCGAACGGGGTAGGAGGAGCGATTTCTTTGGGCTTACGGAGAAGGCCATTCTCCTGACCTTTGACCCCTACTGAGAAGGCATCCTTGTCTTCAGCGCGCTTCCTGGCACGCAGTGTGTTCCACGACAGAGACTTCCTGTACAGTATGGGAACAACAAACATCAACCAGCCAATCAAAGTGAAGCTCAGAGGTGTCCAGCTGAGTCTGGCTGCAGCAGCAACGTACCTGTCAGGTTGCTATGGTGACAGCTTATGACATGACGTAATGCTTCATAAGGTGAATAGATACAGACAAGACCACAATAGTATCGATAAATTATCTATTGGGGTTTGAACTTTTGTCATCTTGGACTTGTTGTTTTCAGTTTATGAGTTATTGTAAGACTGAAAGATGTTTACATACATTTGGAAATCTTTTAGGAAGTACCTGAAGCATCCCAAAACTGCTCTTCTGGATGTTAGCCTCCAACAAAGCAAAAATACATTCTCTACAAACAAGACAATGTAGGCTACTGCAATAACAAAAACAAACAAAAAAACACTTTTCAACAGAAAGAATGGCTGTACACCTCGAGTCTGAGAAAATCCAGACAGGACCAGTGCCTGAATCTGCAGCCAGACTCTTCTGGTTCATGAAGACGAACATTAGAGCAGATGACAGAGAGTTCTGACTTTATTGACACAGCTGGACTTCTATGTACAAGAATTAGTGCAATGATGTTTTTAATTTGTTAATTTCAATCTTTTATAGTTCCTGTAAACTTTAAATACATAGTTATGATTAGTAGGACTTCCCGTCCACGTCGATGCGATGCAGCTTAAAAAGGAAAGTTACATAAATCTCTTTTGTTCACCTCTAACCTTGTGTTAGTCATTTTGATTTATTCCAGTGCAAAGTTAGCTCAACTCCTAAAAACACATCAAGGCGAAAAAGCAGCTGAGAATAAACCACAGTTATTCTCTGAGAAGATTTTAAAGGCTTTACAGTTTGTTCAGTTACCAAATGCTGCTACATTTATTCAAAGCTCTGAAGTTTAAACCACTTAAGTTTAGAGTTTGTAGCTTCTGTGGAGTGTCAAACCGTGAGGTTAGTGAAAACTGAAACGAAACAAATCAAATGTAACAACATACACAAAAAGCTGAAATTAACCAAACAGGAACAAAACGCAGTAAATGGTTTATATACCTGAATTTACAGTGTGGCTGTGGGGATTTTTGGTTCTTGGCATTAAAACCTTGACAGAAATCATTCATCTAGAAACTTCCCAATAAGCAGAGCTGGAATCAGCACAAAGTCTGCTTGGATGACAACTTTGAACTAGTCTGATATTTCTGTGTCCGTGTACTTCTTTCTCTCCTGTACACCAACCTAAACAATGCTGACACGTCTCAGGTTGGACTCAAAGTGGTATTCTGTACAGTAGTATTTCTATGTATGTATTTCAGCTTCAGGTGTGGATATGAGATCGCCGTCGTTACTTCTTCATGTTCTGCTAATATCTGTTGATAGTTACATTTATTTTTGTCACAAAAACGTGTCTCTGTGATGATGTTTGGCTCATTTTAAGAGAGCTTTACTTCTAAAATGGTATAACAGTTGAACACACATGCAGGCAGACACTCTGGTTCACATTTGCTGTTGTGGTTTATTTACAAATATTAAAAACTACTACAAACCGTCACCCATCATCAGCCAAATGTCAAATAAAACATCTTCACCTTGACACCGCTTTGTTAACTCGTGCTCAAGTCCAAAAGGTTTATTTAACAAATTTAAAATCAGTATTATTAATAGACTACCAAGAGTACAATGCTGACCTTGCCACCAAACATATTGCACAGCCTGACTTCATTCATATTTTTCTTGTCATAAATAGTGCAAAAGGTTTTTTTTTTTTAGATAAAAAAACAAACAAAACAAAAACAAACAAACAAAACAAAACAAAAACAGGAATGTTGTAGAGCCTCAGTCAATGTTTTTACTCTGTACAGTGAACTGCCAACATAAATTCAACACAAAAAAAAAGAATTAAATACAACTTTGTCCGTGGAATAAAATAATTATTAGTAGGGCAGCAACAATAAGAGGAATAAACAAACATCTGTGAGGAGAACAGGACTGAGGGCACCGCAATGACCCAGGTGAGGTGAGGGTTTTTTTTTTGTTTGTTTGTTTTACAGAAAGCAGGAAAAATAAAAAAAAAAAGTACAAAAACAGAAGAAAATGCAGAGTGTTAGGAACTGAAGTAAAAAGTCGGTTTTAGCTCCACACGAGTACTTTTCACTTTCTGGTTTCCAGTTAGGAACAAGGTACAAGTTTTTTCTATCCTGTCTATTTCTGTGGGAATCAGCTGTTTTTCTTTCTTTTGTTAGTTTCAAGCCTCAAAACCTTTTTTTATTTTGCTTTTTTGTTTAAACATCATCGCCACAGAGCCGATAAGTGACCGGCTCAAGAAATCAAAGTCATTGCAGCAGCTTGATGGACAGTTAGAGAACAACTCTGTACCTTCAAAACAAGAAAAAACAAAGTCCAACATTTTTTTGTGTTTGCTTTTTAAACACAGGACGCAGACAGCTGAGGAGCTGGTGATGGAAACAGAGTCAGAACAAAAACATTTAGACAGACCTTTGTCAGCTTAGTCCTCTCATTCAATCCGAATACTTGGTTTCAAGCCCAACCAGAAGTGCTTCAGTCTGCAGGGAAAGATGTGCGGGGTGGGTGGGGACTTACTTGATGTTGTTGGCATCTGTTACGGCTGCTGAGAAGGAGCAAGTAGAAGAAGAGTCTTTAATGGGCTTTGTGAGCGGGCCTAAGACGTGTCCTGGCACCCAGCCCTCCGCGGCAGGCGACTGGCTGTTGGCTGGCCGGTAAACGAGGTACATGTTCTGCTGATTGGTGGCCATGACCTGAACGGTCTCTCCTTGACTGACACAGATCTCATTCTCTTTGAGCGCCGAGTAGTCCTGAGTGACCAGCATGGTGGAAGTGATGTCGTTGTTGTCCTGCAGACAGGAGGGAAGGAAAGAATGGCCGACAGGACGAGGGAAAGGAAAGGCAGAAGAAAAAGAGGAGCAGGATGGAGGAGACACAATGTGGACAATTGAGGATGAGGTTAAGGAGCGACTGTGGGCTGGATAACAGAAATGCTGTGATACAGCTGGTGTCAACCTGAGGAGGAGCAGAGGGAGTTCAGGGCTGAGGAGCAGGAGTGGAGGGAGAACAGCAGTGAACACAGGTTTCATTACTTGAATCAGCAGCACACGCTCATTTTATTAAAATCAAATTATTATTATTACGAACAATAATAATAATTAACAAAGAGGCATAACTGATCCAATACTGTGACGAGGAGATGAGGAGTGGGGAGCCGAGTCAAAACAACGAGAAGAACAATGAACAAAAGCAGTTTAGTTGTAGTTATACTTGGTTTCAAGCCCAAACTAAGGTGCTTCATCTGTGGCTGCATTGAGCATCTTTGACACGCCTGATGGTATATTAGAAACTTTATTAGATCAGCTGTTTGCAGAGAGTGCTAAACACGATCTGCAACAGCACTTAGGAGGGTGATACGTAGCCAAGGTTCTGCCCAAAGCAACAGTCTCGGCTTGCCTTCCTCCCACAGTGCCAAGTGTTCCCTATCAGTGATGCACATGCACCTGGACACGTGCATCACTGATGTTGTGTCAATGAAAGCGTGATTCATCAGACTGATGTGCTGATGCTCACGTGCTCATTGTTGCCACTATCATGGTGGAGCTATGGATCAGACCCCACGGGCCGGCCTTCATAACCAAAGCCATACCAGCTTTTACTGGTTTAACAAAGTCTGTGTCAGGTATGGAGGAACCAGGACGTATGGATGAAAACTGGGCTATTAGAACAAATCATACATGGACAAGCCGACATACACACAAACTGAACTGCTGCTACACCTGCAGTAGCCTACATTTTGACTTACAAAAGTCTGTTTAGTGCCCCAGTTTAGCGAGTGCCTGGTGCAGTCTGCAGGCTGTGCTTAGATGAGACCAACACAAAATTCTAAAACTAAATAACCAAAAACAAAACAATAAAATCCTCAAATTGAAAGTAAACAAATTTAAAAAAATAAAGGTAAGCTGATAATCATATAACCTGCACACACTCACCATGGAGTCAAAACACGATGAACCTCCATTAGAAGTGGAGACTTTGACTTGGCTCTTCCCCTTCTCCGTACTGCAGAGGCCGACCACTGACGAGGGTCGGCTGTGAGAGGACGCGGTAGTTTGATTCCCTGAGGACGAGCGGTTTCTGGTCAGCGATGAGCTGTTGCCTCCTCCACTCTGCTGATTGTGGTAGACGATGGGTGACTGCAGAGCTGCAGACAGAAAAAGCACTTTAGATGAGGCTCATTTATTTTTGTTTGGATGGGTTGCCTACCTTCTGGGAACGAGCTTAAGGAAGTGACAGATATCAGGCTTTATCATGTTTCCACCTAAACTACTTTATGATCATGGCAGTTTTATTTTAGGTGGTGAAGGCACCACAGCCAGAAAGCAACAGTCTTCTCGTTTATGTGCCAGTTTGTACAATCATTTTTTAAAGCATGCTAGGTTAAAAATTAAAAGTAGCATCCTTAAAATTTAGGAGAAAATACCAAAAAACCTGTAATGTGCTTTCACAAACGTGAAGCTCGAGTGAAAACAAAGTAATATTCTGCTGAACACAAAGATCCTCAGTGTTTCCTCACCAGACAGGAAGTTGCTTTGAGCATCCAGGAGTTCCTGAATGTGTTGGACCCAGACCTGCTTAATGTCAACATTGGCTGCCTGCAGGGTGAAACGCTCCGATGATCCGCGACTCAGCAACACAAACTTACAGGGATCATTATCCACACTGTCCTCCAGACCCAAGTAGGATACCTGCATGGAAAAGTTTACAGTGTTAGACCAACACCATCCCACAAACCACCAGGTCCTCTCCTGCAGGAGCCTGGAGGAGGGCGTGGTTCGAGGAGCTCGCTAGGAGGTCTATGTATATTCTCATTTTTCAGTATGACCTGCTCATATACACTTCATTTAAAGCAGTCTGCTGTGTCTTTGTGATGAACATACTGCATGCACACAAACATGGGCACAGCTTTATTGCAACCATCTACACACACGCTGCTCTGTGCTCTCCAATGATTTTGTCCAACATGATCAAATGTGGATGAAAACCTGGTTTCAAAGACTGAAGTCAGGACATGTGTGAGCTTTTGTGTTCTTCATGAGATTAAACCAGTTCACTGATCACAGACCTGTAACCCACTTTTTGTAATACCTTGATGCTCTTTTTGAACTGGTAGCCAGGTGTGGACGAGCCTTTTCTCAGCAGCTCACTGAAGATCACGATTTGCTCGAACAAGAAGACTCGTCGTTCCTTCGAGCGGGACAGGACGCCGGCGTCTTGCACCGTAACAAAAAAGGTTTCCTGCTGCAGCAGTTTGCCCTGACTGGTCAGTTTCCCCTGCAGAGAAACCAGGTTGATAAAAACATTACTCTCTTAGGCTTTACAGCACGCCACACATGTCATAGTGTGTGCAGTACATGTCACTGTGAAGACCCACAAAACTTACCTCAAATCCCTGCAGCCGACCCAAATTCATCATGTCATTACACAGTTTCGGGACCTGAGACATCAAATCTACTGCTTTCTGTAAAAGTCATGGACAGAGATATTTAGATAGTTTTTCATTTGAGGAGGATGTGTCAGCACAAACATGCCGGATTGAAAAGCATTTTACATTTTTACCTCAATTTGTTCACAGTCCATTCCTGCCTTTGAGCTGTACTTCAGGAAATCCTGAGGAAGAAGAGAAGCCCAACTTTAATCAGACTAACCAAGCTTGCTACCATCAACACTTTCATCTAATAGGAAAAACAACAAAAATAGCAAAAATAACAAAAACAGGAAAAACAACAAAAACAGGAAAAACAGGAAAAATAGTAAAAACAACAAAAACAGGAAAAATAGTAAAAACAACAAAAACAGGAAAACAGGAAAAATAGTAAAAACAACAAAAACAAAAACAGGAAAAACAGGAAAAATATAAAAACAACAAAAACAACAAAAACAGGAAAAACAGGAAAAATAGTAAAAACAACAAAAACGGCAAAAACAGGAAAAACAACAAAAACAGTAAAAACAACAAAAACAGTAAAAACAACAAAAACAGTTCCTCTTGGCCAAAGAAATGTTAAAGCTTCAATATGCAGAAATGTAAACGATAATGTAAAGGACAGTAAGTCAGGTTAGAGTTACAGTGACACTAATGGCCTGTTTATAACATGTGGAGCACAGTTATGCTCTTTGGCATTTTCTTTTGTGATAAGGAGAGACTGTGTGTGTCTGTCACCTTCAGTAAAAGCTGGTATTTGGTGATTCTCTGGATTGGTTTGATGAGGAAGTCACTGATGGACAACCTGGACTGGATATCTTGTTGGATTCCCTGGAAGAGAAATAACCGAACTGTGTGTCCTTTTGTCCACTTCACACAAATACTCCCAGTAACATCACACAAAGACAGTATCAGTCCAGATAATTAAGGGTCGTCCCTGCATTTCATATCGAGGATGAATGTAAAAGAACATTGCTGTTTAGATCACACTGCACACCTTCTGCTAATGATGAACAGAATCAAAGCTTCACCTACATCGAAATACGTGTCGTATTCTGCCACGATGAACTCTGACTTGGGCTTATTCTGACAATAAACAACATACATGTGGAGCCTTCTCTCCTGTAAAGACAAAGGAGCTTTGATTAGAGAGCAAATCACTGGGACAGCAGAGATTATGTACTCTAGTGCGGTGACACAATCACGACACAGTGTTTAGCTAACGTGTTTAATGAAGAGCTCAGGGAGGTGTTCATGGTCATCCAGGCATTTCTCCAGTTCTCCTACAAAGAAACTGACAGATAAAGATTGTTACTATCCCCTCGCCCCGTCCTTCACGCCATCATTTCCAGCCGACACTCGACTTACTCTCTGTGCCAGTCATAAATCTGGTGGATGTTCCCAAACACGATTTTGTCTTTTCCTTTCATGTCGTCTGGGACGCCCTTCTCCTCGATCCTCTTCATGAACCCCTGCAGTCAAAGTGTTGATAACTTTTGAACCCAAATGTACATTTCCTGATGCCCTTTGTTTAAATGGCAGGAGACCGCTGCACAGAATGATTCTGCAGAAGCACTCACCTCCACCACGATGCCCAGGTCTTTGACATAGTCCTTCTCTGTCTGAATCAGCTCGTTCAGAACAAACCTGTGTTAAAAAACAGCTAAGTTAACACAGAGCTTCTGTTCCTGCTGCAACAGAGGACTAGTGCCTTAGTGAATGCTTCACACTGTAAACATGGTTATTTCTTGAGGTTCCAACATCTGCCTCCATCTCACTCTCTCCTTAGGGCAGAGGTGTCCAACTCCAGGCCTCCAGAGCCGGTGTCCTACAGGTTTTAGATGTGTCCTTGACCTCCTCATCATGTCTTGAAGTTCTCCAGAGGCCTGGGAGTGAACTAATTATTTGATTCAGGCGTGCAGGGTGTCCAGGGTGAGATCTAAAACCTGCAGGACACCGGCCCCAGGAGTTGGACACCCCTGCCTTAGGGTGAAGTGGAGACTGTAACCTACTCATTGCTGTCCCTCCCGGTCACTCCCACTCTAAGCATCTTCAGCTCCGCCCCCTACAGCTTCCACCTCATGTTTTTTGTCACTACCACGTTGCAAAGTTTCACTTTCATTCTTGCTGCTATCCTGTCACAAATCACCCCTGACACTCATCTCCACCCGCCTCCAGCCTCTTCATCTCTTGTGCACTGTCTGTTACTTGGTTGACCCCCAGCTAAACTCATCCACCTTCAATACCTGGACTCTAAGATAAGATTGACAATTCTGTCTGTAGTAAGTTATACTGAACAGAATCGAGAGTCGATGCAGAAAAGAGCTGGCAGTGATGCCAACAGATATCGCAGTGATTAGGTCATGTGGAACATGAAGTGCTATGGTGGAGGTGGCTTGTGCATAGCATAGCATCTGTGGACCGGATCAAGCAGTACTGAGATCAGCTGAGCTATGGCTGTGCTTTTGTTGAACAAAGGCTACCCTCCATTTTCTAAATTCGAAGCAGTTCAAAGTAGAAGAAAGAGTCGCAGTACTTACATCCGTCCTCTCATAGCTTTTGCTCTCTGCTCCTGTTCAGGGTTGCGTGGCTGAACAGGAGTGGTTTGTTCAGGCGGACAGAGGGGGGTAAACCCCGGGTACACTCCTGGTTCTAGACTCTGCAGACATGAGAGGATCAGAGTTCAGGTGATTATGTCCCACTGATTTCTATCAATATCAGTAACGTTCAGCATACTCAGATGTTGAATATGTAACAATTCTACATGATCAAACCACACAAACACGTGTGATGCCAGCAGAGGGCAGCAGGAGCTTCAAACATGCGCGCTAACAGCTGCTGTCTGTGAACACTGCAGCAGCAAACTGACACTTCTGCTTTGTTTCATTGCAAATCGTGTCTATTAGATGATAGCAGAGAGTAATCAGCTCAGCAGTAAATGTCTCTGCAAGTCTGTCTACGGAAACTCCACAGCACATACAACATTTCATACATGCAGCAGTGAAACATTCAGAGACACGCTGGGGTCCAAAAGACACTTTTGTTCTTTTATTTATTTTCCAGAAAGTTTCCTGAGATTAAAATCTGTTATTGAAGAAAGACGAGGCCAAGAAGGAACAACGTTAAAGCTTAAGCCAGCCTGTCCCAGGAGTCTCTCTACTCTGTGCCGCTCTCACGGTTTGAATCTATTCCTCCTGTTTCTCATATTTGCCGTCTTACTATTTAGATTTTAATTGTGCACAGTTAGTGTGGAGCACCCACAATTTCCTTGTACACGTGCAACGACAATAGAGGGCTATTCTATTCTGTTCTATTCTATTTTATTGTAGAAATAGGGCAGCTTTAAAGGCCTTTCTTACTTGCTTCACTTGTGATGTCAACCTTTTATGTACCGTCTATGACAAAGACAAGTCCGGATGTTTCTGTTGTAGTACCAGGTCCACATGAACACACCGCCGGACTGTGGACCTCCATTTATCACAAACGAAAGCAGCTGAGAATGAGCATGAATTTTTACCATCACTTGGTTAACAGACTACAAAGTGCTCCAAAGCTATGTTGCCAGAAGTATTCCCTCACCCATCCAACTCACTGAACTCAGGTGTTCCAGTCTGTGCTGTGGCCACAGGTGTAGGAAAACAAGCACCTGGCGTCCAGACTGCTTCTGCCAACAGGAATGGTCACTCTCAGGAGCTCAGTGAAGTGTACGCAGTCATGGTCGAGCACTACAGACCTCCAAACTTCATGTGAACTTCAGATAAGCTCAAGAACAGAGCATATAGAGCTTCATGGATTGGGTTTTCATGGCAGAGCATCCAAGCCTTACATGACCCAGTGCAAAGCATCAGATGCAGTGGTGTAAAGCAGGCTGGACTCTAGAGCGGTGGAGACGTGTTCTGTGACTAATCACACCTCTGTCTACCATAAGAACAGCATACCAAGATGCTGTCATGCACACCGCTAAACCTTGTGGAAACCACTTTCTCAGAGTGTTCCCAGAGCGAGCTGAGGGCTGGAGGCCACCGACTCAGTCTTGCCGTCAGAGACACCAACAGTATAGTTTTCTAACTGGAGTCACATGAACCCCAGCAGGGTGAGCAGTCATCATATTAAACCCTGTGGATGTCACTCAAGTTCATACTTTTCATAACATAGTGTATTAGTGTCATTAGACAGGCTGGAGTGGTCGGCACATCGCGTGCCTTCACTGTGTGGACGTCACAAGTCATTTTAAAATGAACAAAGAAGAGCACCTGTTAGACCGTGCTAACTAACACACACTCACCATCTTGGTTTTAACCAGTTTCTCTATGGCGCTAACTAGCTCTGCAGCACTGGGCACCTCAGAGGAAGACTGCAGAGAGGTGAGCAAGGACGAAGACTGAGAGAGGACAGGGGGAACAGAAAGTATAGGTGTTTATTAAATATTAGAATGATAAGAAAGAAATACAGAGAAAACCAAAGAAACAAAGAGCAAGAAGGAGAGAAAATCTGTTAATCGGCAGAAGACAGCAGCTACAGATGGACACGCTCCAAGATAGAAGTGCTTGTGTGAGTGGGCGAATGAGGCATGTTGTATGTAGAACAGCGCTATATAAGAATCAGTCCGTTTACCAAACCCTGCCCCGTTTATTAGACAGCAGATCGAAGCAGACGAGCAGAACGTGGTTCAGCTGGTCACACAAAATCATCTGTTTTTATACTTTAAGCAGATCCCGCTGATCAGAGTAAACCATGAGTGTAAGTAACAGCATATTTCCCACAGGCAACACTTGTGTAATTACAGGCTGATCTAAGCCAGACCTACAGCAGCCTGTCTGGGAGCCTAACCTAAGGGAAAAACTCTGCTGGGCCGAATTACCTTGTCATCAGGATCTGATGGGTCGTTGATGATCTTCATACGGGGAGGCAGAGGGGTGTGGGCGTCTTCATCCTGCTCCTCCTCTCCACCACTCTGCATCCCAGACGTCTTAGACAGGATGTTGCCATCTCTGCTGATGACTCTCTGAGAGGAGACACACAGCATCAGCAGCTGGTTACGTACCACGTTGCTGGTCCCACTGATAGTAAGATACAACATGACTGTGCCATCTATGAGCCACATATCTTTTCACTAATAAAACAATAAAGTGGCAGCTGTTCCTGGAGAGTTCAGCTCTCTATAAAACCAGTCTGACATCAAAGACAGAGCTTATTTCATTTGCAGAAGCAATGACGAATCATAGGCTCTCGTGCTTCATGGTTCGGGCTTTTAAATAAACCTCGTTAAGCAGTCGAAGCTTATTGTTTTTCCAAATCGATTTATTTCTGTGGATCCTTTCACGGTGACACTCAGTCACGTAGAGGCTCAGAAACACTGATGTTATCATTTTTTTTGGCTAACACTGCGGATACAGGATAAAACGCATTCGTCCATCAGGGAGGGAGCCATGGCTGTGATCACGTTTGTCTGTGTGGGTGTTTTTGTGCGTAAGAGAAGGAAAAACTTTTCACACAAAAAGAGGAACCTCATCTATTTACCACCTGTTATGTGAATCATGTATATCTTAGGATAGCACCGACAGCAAAAGCTTTTTTGTCACATGCATTTCTGCCCCGGTTCATGATTTTCTGCAGTTTAAATAAATGACACTGTTGTGTTAGTGGAGTGTTACACCTCTCATCAGACAAAGTCAAACTTAAGACGAACAAAGTTTGAGAAAGTTTACTGAAACACGTGTGTCATATTTCAGGATAAATACAGATATATTGACATAAATGCTCACACATGTCTGCAGTCAGTTTGTGAGCGACAGGCCAATCAGGTGAAGCTGTACCTGTTTGCATCCCAGCACCATCACACGATCTCAGCACTGGGAATGTTCAGTGCTTCAGCAGCCACAGTGTTTGTAACACAGATCAGGAAACCACCCTCAGTGCTTACCTCACCAGTGACATCATCCTGCAGGGTAAGGTCAGGCTGACCCAGGTCGATGCTCTTCCTGATTTCCTCTTTTCCTGTTCCTGGCCCTGACAACAAGTCGCAGCCAGTCAGTCACAGAATCACTTTAACACTCAAACACACACAGATCTGAAGATGTGTCAGGCATTGTGCGCACGTCTTAGTTTTCCTCTGTGTGAGTGCCGTCAGCTGAACTGTGTCCTCTGCTGTCACAGACTTGTTCACAGCTTAAACCAGTTTCTCGTCACCAGCTGCAGCGGCTTTTCACCCATTCTGTGTTCATTTTCACCACTAATCAGTGGATTACTCCAACTTAACTTCTCCTCCCACAACACTACATTTGAGCTCGGGTTTTTGGACTTCGCTGTGTTTTCTGGTTGCTGGTCTTTAACTCCTTGTTTGGAGTCCGAGGGTCATTTTTACATTACACTCTCCAAACATCCAGCAGCACCTTTTCAAAGTTCTTCAAACATTGTCATTTACAAGTGATGCTATGGAAGCCCGTTTCCGCCACAAAAAAAAGGATGCATAACTTACAATTTCGAGTTACTTTCTCGAAATTTCGAGTTAATGTGTCGAAATTTCGATTTATTAAACTCAAAATTTTGAGAAAAGCAACTCGAAATTTTGAGTTAGCGCTGCCAATCAGTAATCTACGTGAATGACGTCATTTCCTCGTTACCCAGAAGCTGAAGCCCTCAGCTACAAATGCTACAGCTAAGCTACCGGTATTACATCCAGTGAATGCACAGATTGCTGAGTGTTTTCAGCCTGGCTTCAAAAATGATGAAATCCTTGTGTTATTGGCTGAATCACATGGCGTTACTATCAGCAAACGTACTCGCCAAAGCACCAATTTGTTGGGATCCGTTTTTGAGTGCGCGTTCCTCTGCGCCATATGCTTCCGGGTAACAAGAAAGCGACCTCATTCACGTATATTTTTGATTGGCAGAGCTAACTCAAAATTTCGAGAAAATAACTCCAAATTTCGAGTTATGGATACTAGCTGTTTTGTTTTTATTTAGTGGCGGAAACGGGCTCGCAGCTTACGATGCAGCTGCGAGCATGACAACGTTAAAAATAACTGAATGAACAAATGAAAGCAGCTTTAATGTAACTGAAACCGTGTTAGCAGGAAAGCTGCTGCAGTGTAATAACAAGCTAAAGGAGCTTCACTGTGGAGAGTGGGGGTGTTTGCAGCACATTAACATGTCATCATGACCGTTTCTGCCCCTCTCACCTGGCTTCTTCTGTTTGTGATTAGGAAGTTTCTTAACAGAGCTGCCACTGAGGCGGCGGACCGGACTGGTCAGCCACTTCCTCAGAGTGTTCCCAGAGCGTTTGGGACCAGGAGAGCTGGACTGCAGGGAGCTGAGGGACGGCTGCGGCTGAAGGTTGGCCACCGATTCGGTCTTGCCATCCGAGCCGCCAACAGTGTAGTTTTCTGAAAGGAGTCACACAACATATGATTTTTTAAACACACACCATCTGTTATGTAACCTGTTGCTTTGACTTCAGGCTGTGTGCTCAACATACTAAAGTGATGTGTGGATTTAAGCTCTTCAACACTAATCAGTAAGTTTACACTGTAAACAACGTGACAGGGCCGTGCACTCGTATCAGAACATTTTTATTAGTCCTGTATCCAGGTAAACATCTCATTGAGATTAAAGCCTCGTTTCCGAGGGAGGCCTGGCATCGTGGCAGCAAAAGTAAACAAACAAACATAAAAAGTCTTTCTTTGTCTGCAGAGTCGGTGTGTTTCTGGAAAAATATAAATCCTGCTCATCAATTTCTTTATGGTAAAAAAGAGGAACACCTGGCACACCTGGTCCCACTCTGCACTCAGCGTATACAGCTGATAGGGAGAAGAGCCCAGCATCATCCTGCAGTACTGACATTAATCCAACCAACACATCAGGTCTGCCTAAACGTCCTGGTCTCTGTGTTTGCACCATGATCCACACGTCACATCACCTGCACTCATGACCCAAGACTACAGTCATGTGAAATTATTTCAAATACTTCTGACAGCTATAAATATCTGCTGTGATGGGGACAAACGTGCAGGCACAGGAAAGCCAAGCTCTGTGGCAACGAACCCACTCAGAGGTCCAGATGAGCGAGTCTGTCACAAACAAGCATCTGTGCAGCAGCTGCCATGTCGCGCACACACACACACACACACACACGCTCCCAGGTGGCACTCATACTCCTCCTTCCTTTGCTGTGGTGTCACATTAGTCTTGATTTTAATCGGTGTTTGTCATTTCTATCGCTCGATCCAACTCTTCGATTTGAGCATCGAGGGTGGGGACGGGAGTCTAGGACAGTCGTCAGGGTCCACCCTCGGACAGGACAGCCATTTAACAACCATTCAGATTCAACTAAAGGTAATGTAGCATCACCAGTTAACCCTGCATGTCTTTGGACTGCGGGAGGAAGCAGACACATGAGACACGGGGAGAGTGCAAATTTGCCTGGATTCAAACCCACAACCTTGTTGCTATGAGGTGAATATAAATGAATAACATGGTCTTTTGGTTGTGCTTCCTGTCGTATTCATCTTGTACAGCCAGAAACATCAGACTGTGTGAATGACTTGAAGAATAAAAATCAGTCACGCGTCAGGAGTTGCTGCATCAGCTGCTCTCACACACACAGCTGGCAGCAATGGGTAGAGGCCGTATGTGCCAGATTCCCACAGGAGCTGAAGGAGGGTTAAAGGTCAGGGGTCTCCTGAGGTGTTCTGCTGTAGTATAGGTGCTAAGTTAGGAGTTTTTCTTCTTCCAATCTCTTATCTGGTATTTGAATGTGTCATATTTATACACAAGCAGGCTGTTTCTGGGCTGCAGACGCTAAAACATGTGACAACATGTCACAATCACAGATATTACATCAGACCTCAGTACGACCAACAGCGTGCAACAGCGCACACTAACATACACACTGCTGTTGAGTGTACGGTTCAGTGAGCACTGTGGATCAGGCTGAATGAAACATTCAATCTATTTGTAGATCTGGATCAAAATAGTTATAGTTTGGAAACAGAAGGTTGGGTGTGACGTGGTCATACATCCTCATACGTGCTAATGAAACCCAAGTTTCAATCTCAGAAGTTTTTGCTTCTCACGGCAGTAAAACACACAGGGTGTGGTTGCACGATCTGATATCCTCGTGTTGGTGTTGTTCCCAGATCATCATAGTAAATGTTGCTCCAGGATCAACATTGCAAGTGACCAATCAGAATGTTGTGACGTCATACTTTTGCGACTTCGGGAAAAACCGGCGTAAAACAAAAAACTGTACTTAAGCTGCGAGAAACCGCCTCTGTCCGCCGATCAACGGACCCTGACCCTAACCCTTTAATAAACAGTAAGCAGAATTGATATTGTCCTTGCAACATTGGAATTTCATAAATGCACGAATGGCTTGGCGCGCAAAAGAATAACGTCACAACAATGTGATTGGTCACTTGCAATGTTGAACCTGGAACAACATTTTCATGATGGTCTGGGAACAACACCAACACGAGGATATCAGATCATCCGGGTGTGGTTAGCCAGCCAGCTGCTCACTAACCACAAAACACTGATTGCAGTTCACTTCACAGCCGTGGTGTCATCAGGAACAAAGGTGTTCTGGCCGTTACAGCGAGATATTTGAAAGCAGCTAAAGCCATCATGTTTATTTTACAGCAAACGTGACTACATTTCAGCTCATTGTCCTGTGGGACAAAGATCTTCTTCCTGAAGTCACCCAGCGAGCAGAGACAGTGTGGGTTGGGGAGTGTGTACTGGAGGTTATTTAACTTGTTATTCGAGATAAATGTTAAACACAGGAGCCAAGGTCACCTGCTGCAGCGGGGCAGTTGTTTCTCTTTGATAGAAACGCGGCGGCGCTGGAACTTTGCTACGTTTATAGCTTTGGTCAGTGTGCGTGCACAAGCTCCACTCTGACCACTCATCACTGCTGTAGGATAACGAGCCCAAACGGTCACCTGACCTCGACCTCACTGAACAGTTAAGAGGACACTTAATGACATCACTCCAAGTGCTGTGGGGCAAAGTCAGTCATGTGTTTCTGAAGAGTCACAGCTCACCTCTTCACCTTTGTGTCTCAGCACAATCAGTGCTCGTCACTGGGTGACCTTAGCATGTGGTTAACCACAGAAACATGTTATGGACGCGCGCGCGCACACACACACACACACACACACACACACACACACACACACACACACACACACACACACACACACACACACCCCACCCACCCTCAGTGTGCTGCTGTCAGCTGAATAGTCAACAGGAACAGGTGGTAAAGGAGTATAACACACAGCAAACACACAGCAGCATGACAAAGAGAGAGGACAGATGAGCCTGCATTACAATTTATTCGGCATTTCCGTCCAGACTGTGTAAGATACAGCTAGACTGCTTCAGCTGTTTTTACATATAAAGCCGAGAACTTAAGGCCAGCTGAAGCAGAGATGTGCTAGTTGCTTAAATGCTAGAGCTCATCATGCACAGTGATGTTTCTAAAGGAACAAGGTTACTCACACTGGTCATGTTTTGCTTGGACAATGATAAAGTAGAGCAGCGAGTGACAGGAAGGCAGAGCAACAATGGTGCCAAACCCCAAGCAGAAAGACTAACCAGTCTACCTTAATGTCTGAAGATATTTTCTATTATATAAAACACTTTATTTTATTATCACCCTAAAATGTCATCATACTCAAATATTCCCAGCCCAAAGTTTAGTTTTACAAACAAAACTCGAATTAGCCAGTGATTATAAATGATTAACAGCCCCAGTAAACCAGTAATAATACAGTTGGGCCAGCATTCGGGATAATGGTGGGGACTACACAGAGCTGTGGTGTCGTCCTGATGGCCAAAGTCAGGTGAGAACTCACAAGGAAGTCATTGTTCTACAGAGAGACAGAGTGACTACTGTTAAAATCCCCATCACTCACTATATTTAATCATAGTCTCACACAAACACACACCTCAGGTCCTCCCAGTACAGATTAAACGAGCTGAAGCAGCAGAACAAGGTTTCGGTTTCATTCTTTGCCTCACACTGTGCTAAACACCACACACATTCATACTGTGTCCATGAATGCTTCTATTGATACAAAAGTACTAAAACTCAGACCCATTACACACACACACACACACACACACACACACACACACACACACACACACACACACACACACACGTCTCCTGTTATTACTCCACTTCCTGTTTTCTCTTGCTGAGCAGAAACTTCACAAAAACTGATGGCATATGATTTAACAGCTGAGCAGTGTTGGGGAGTAACTGAGTACATGTGCCGCCGTTACGTATATAAAAATATGAGTAACTGTATTCTGTTACAGTTACCGCTTAAAAAGGTGATATTCAGAATACAGTTACTTTGTTGAACTAAAGGGATTACACAGCGGTACTTTCCTGTTTCATAAGGCTATAGCCTCTATTTTTGGTAATTCCACGCCAGTGGAAACCCAAACAAAACACGCTACAGGCCCAAATGCCCGTGTCTCAATCCTGCGTCTCATAATGATGTGAAGAAATATTTTAAAAATGATTTAATATGAAGGCAACAGGCAGAGTGTTACAGGCATCGCCCTAAAGCATGCAGGGCAGTGTAGTCCGTGCTGCAGGGAGGATGGACTGTCATACCCGTTATGTGTCTGTGAGCGAGGGAGGGAGAGAAAGGAAAAGTACGAGCTGTCACGGAGCAGAAACGGGAGCTGGAAGCATGTAAATATAATAATAACCACTGCAGTCAAGCAGAGAGCCTGACGAGCCCAGCTGTGAGTAAGCTGTTAAGACTCGACTGTACACTGTGTTCGTGTTTTCCTCTGAAACAATAAGTACTGTTGGAGCAGCCTTTCAACGCCTCTCTCTGTCTCTCGCTAGCAAAGTTGACCCAGACAACAAAGTAAAGCTCGTTTTCAGCTACGAGCCGACACGAACCCGACGTATTAGCCAGAGGTCCCTTTACTACAGTTCCCAGCCTGCGGCTCCATGCCCTGCAGGCTGGGCCGTAGGGGTTTGGTTTTTAGTGGATCGGGTGGAAGTCCGAGACGGAGGGCCTGGCACTCCGATTCCCGGCTTCTGGAATCTTATCTTTAGTCTTATGGTGCTTTTGCACAGTATTTGAACCCCACTAATACTAATGTAGTCATCACCAGGAGCTGTTGCATAAAAACAGAAGAAAGAGACAAAAGTGTGCCATAGTTATCAGTTAAAGTGGGCCGGTGTGGCACAGCACCAGAACGACTGCAGGTGTCCATCAGTTTCGGTTGTGGTAACTCAGCATCCAGCTAGCTGAGACTGGTGAGCATAAAGGGAATAAGATGTTTTCACAGGTTGTTTCAAATGCAATGTTTCTATCGGCTCAACAAACATCAGCAAACACACAAACTGCTT